GTGTGTACAATGATGTTTACCTTGTACAATGTCCGAGGGCTACTCAAGGTAGAGGTTTACAGTGTAAGAAGCAGAGCTTATGCAGATATGTTTGTAGGATAATTGCTTACCCTAGATTTGAACATGTTAAGATTGTAATGATCGAAGCAGCATCCTCTTGGAAATCATTTCCACAAAGCAGTTGTTCGTAGGAAGAAGCTGCTTGTGTGGAACTTACATCTCACCAGGGCAAATCGAAGGGATCGAGGGTGGTTCGCGACAATATGTGTTGTATGGCGAGTCATCGCCGTGAAGGTTACGACTGGTGGAATTAAAGCGTGTAGTTCATCTGAAATAGCAATAGATCAGAAAAAGTCTTGAGGTCCTTTCGTCTGTGGGGAAAGTGGTTGCAGGGTGGAAAGTAATTTGTCACGCTTTGGACTCTATCGAAAGTGGAAAGGCAATATATGGCACCAGTCCTACATTTTCGGCAAGGTGAGGCACTTGAACAGTGAGAGGATATCAAGATGTTCCAGGTAATTGCTGGAGTGGTACAGGGAATCAACCCATTTTCCAGTATCTTCAGCGAGGGATCCACTTGAGATCTGGGATGAGTTGAAATCCTAATAAGCGTACAATGCCTGGGACGTCCTTGAGGGGGGGGCATACTTTCATCGCGATTGTTCTGAGTCTGATCGGCGATGGTGGATGGTCATTTTAGATTTTGAGGCATAGAGTGTGACCAGTAAGTTCTTCGACCACCGAGCTGTTAGAACTAGATCACAGGAGAGATCAGCTGCTAAGCTCTGGTCATCGAATGTTCCGGAGGCGCACCCATATACAGTTGTCGAGGGTTTTGGAGGTTCACCCATGGGTGTATCAGAAATACTTTTGCAAACTTTGGGTACCGGTTCCTGGCACTGAAACACGGACAAATGTCATAATAAACAAATGTCCGCACATCCTTCGTTTTTGTGTTATTAAGTTTAAAGAATGTTTATGGTAGCTGGTGCTGTTTTGATGTATATAGACTAGCTTACATTTGTCATTCGTGTACATTTGTGTTTAGTCTGTCTTCAACTTTTAACGTGTCTAGTAGTGTGTTAGCTGAGATGCGTTCCGTTAACCAATTGCGGGACGTTCATATCATAAGCATACGGTCGCGCGAATGGTAATGGACGCGAGGCTGCACGCCTGTATAATATTGCGTTTCCAGAGCGAAGACAGCCGAGTCATCCAACCATTGCTGCTGATGATCGTCGCGTTGCTGAGACAGGATTCTCGGCACCACTAACCATAGGTCGAAGAATACCGATATTCGCTCGTACGCCTGAACACGAGAAACAGATTCTACACACTGCCGGAGACGATCCAAGTATCAGCACACGTCAAGTGTCCCTAGCATGTTGTACATCTTATAGTACCACATGAAGGATAGTTCAAGAACAGATCCAGTATCTGTATCATTTGCAACGTGTGTGGGTTTTTTGCCCTCTGATCAGTCACGACGGGATAATTTTTGTCGATAGTTTATTGCACATAAAGCCGATCTTGTCTCTTCAGTCTTATTTACGGATGAGGCAACCTTTGGAAAAGATGGAGTAACAGATTTACACAACCAACATTTGTGGGCGGATCAGAATCCCAATGGTACAATACAGGCTAAACACCAGCATCAGTTTACGATCAATGCGTGGTCTGAAATTGCAGGTGACTGTCTGTTAGGTCTATATGTAATACCAGCACATCTTATAGGAGCTGACTAGAGGGACTTTATTTCGAACACACTTCTAGACATGCTAGAGGATGTAACTCTGCTAATTCGAAGACACATATAGTTCATGCATGATGGGGCTCCAGAATATTTAATCATATTGTTCGCGATGCACTGTGATCTGCCAGGAAAGGTAGACAGGTAGGAGACGATCGGTTCCATGGCCTGCATGTTTCTCCGACATCCGTCCTTTGGATTTTTATTTGCGGGGCTACATAAAACAATTGGTTTAAGCAGCTGATATTAATAATGCAGAGACGCTTCATCAACCTGTCACGCGGGCTTGCAAAATCATTTGAAACCGTGTGGGAGCATTTGAAAGGGTTCCTCAGTCGCTGATCCGACGGATGCAGGTGTGTGTAGAAGCAAGCGGAAGATATTTTGAACATTTGTTATGAATTGCTGTATTGAGGTACAACGATAGCGTTTAGGACATATCTTTTCTTGACATTTTACCTCGTTTTGGTATCGGGAAACCGCCCCCAAATTTTGCAAAAGTATTTATGGGTTGTATCTTGGATTTTCCATTTAACAGTGCCTTTAGCAAACTTAATAACTCAAGAGCAAAAGATTTGCGGACATATGTTTATATGGATTTTTGTTCTTGTTCTGGTGTGAGGAACCATTCACCAAAGTTTGTAAAAATATTTTTATAGTTGTATATAAATTAGTTATAGTATAATGTATATAATATAATGTATATTTATAGTTCATTTATGTTATTTATTTTAAATTTTATTTTATAGTTGTATATAAATTATTTATTTTATAGTTGTATATAAATTATTCATTTTATATTTGTATATAAATTATTTATAGTATAATGTATATAATTTATAGTTCATTTATGTTATTTACTGATTATAATTATTAGGACATACAAAATTATATATATATATATATATATAATGTACAAATCCGGCAATTATTTTAAGACATTTTTATGTTTATACATTCTTTTTATAGATACAAAGATTTAAGTAAATGATCTGTTTTTATAATGAACAGTATTAATAACAATTACCGGCCTAAATGTTCGAGAGATTTTCATAGAAAATGTTCGTTCTCCGACAGAAATCGAACATGTATCCTATACGAAACGGTCATATAGCCTGACTAGCCTTAACCGATCGAGCCATGGAGAATCATTCGAGTTGCAAAGTCAATTTTACTGTCTTTAAACTTCTATGAATCTCTCACGTACATTCATATGTGCTCAAAGCGTATCCAAATGTAAACAAATGACATCACACATTATGAAATGGACAATGTCCGACAATTATTTTAAGACATTTTTATTTTTATCTATAAAAAGAAAGTATAAACATAAAAATGTCTTTATATATATATATATATATATATATATATATATATATATATAGTGTGGGGAAACAAATATCCGTACACATAGAATTTTTCATTTATTTTATTTCCAACTAATGTTAAATCTATACTAATGCATAATAAATATGCATAAAAAACAGAAAAAAATTAATTTAATAGAAATAAATCCCATTTATTCATTTTAATGCGTAAAAAAGTATTCATACAATGCAAATTTCGGAATTTAAAACTTTTAAATTGCTTTAATACGCTAGATTATTCCAGTGAAATAATCTAAAATGTTCCAATAATGTTATCAGTAATTATTTATAGCCTAGAAATTACAAACAAAACATTCTGTTATTGATATTCGTGCAAGAAGTTTAACGTCATGTCAAGAAGTAAAGAATTAACAAAGTCGCAAAAAGAACTAATTGGTAAGCTCTGGAAAGACAGGAAAATCTCAGACAACCTGAATATTCCATTTTGTACCATTAATTCATTCATTTCATGGTATAATAACTCAAAACTGCTGAAAACCAAAGAAGAATAGGTGCCCCACGGTAGATGTAATGGTTACTCATCAAGAATTGCAGGATGATTTGCTTTCATCAGGAATCTGTGTCACTAAACAGACAATAACCAATGAAATTCATAGGAACTAAAGTCACACTTCCCTCGGAAAACCCCATTGTTACTTAAAAGACACAAAGCTGCAAGTTTGAAATTCGTTTGTGGACTTAAGCATAAGGAAAAATCGTATTGGGAAAGATTATTATGGACAGACGAAACCAAAACTGAGTTGTTTGGACGTAATTCTAGAAATCATATATGGAGGAAAAATGGCGATGCCTTCAAACTAAAGAACACAGTTCCAACAGTCAAATTCAGTGGTGGCAGCATCATGGTTTGGGGTGTTTTTCTGCAAAATGTACTGGCAACATATCAGTAATAGATCGCAGAATGAATGCCACTACATACTGAAATATTTTGGAAGCAAATTAATGGTTTCGGTTGAAAATCTTGAACTTCCTCCTGATTGGATCTTCCAAGATAATGATCCTAACCACATTGGAAAATTTATTAAGAAATGGCTTCCTGAAAACAATGTAAATATCCTGAAATAGTCAAGGCATTCCCTAGATTTAAACCCAACCGAGAATCTGTGGCGTTATTTGAAAAATCCAATCCAATCTAGAGCTCCAACAAACATGCCTGATCTGAAGACAATATGCAAAGAAGAATGGAACAAAATACCATCATTAATATCATTATTTGAGATCTACAAGAAGAGATTGGTTGCTGTAGAAGTGAATAATGGCTACTTTACAAAGTATTAAATGAAGATTATGTATTCTTTTTTGTAGTGTACGAATACTTTTTTAACACATTAAAATAGATAAATGGGATTTATTTCTATTAAATCAATTTTTTTTTGTTTTCTATGTATATTTAGTTATTATGCGTCTGTATACAGTTAATTATATGAAAAAATATATATCCATTAGTTAGAAATACAATAAATTAAATATTTGTATGTGTACGAATATTTGTTTCGCTCCACTGAATATTCTA